ATCGAGAAGAGCACGCACAGTCGGGAGCTTGGCCGTGGGCGAGAAGGCTTCGAAGAAGTCGAGATACTCCTTCTGGGTGAAACCCTTCGCAACGTATCGTGCCTTGAACAGTTGAGCTTCGCCTGGGAGTTGTTTGACTCGGAAGATCCATTTTCCGCCGACAATGTTAAAACCGGAAGGAGGAATGACATCGTCAAAGCTATTGTTGCGAATAAATGCCTCGTTCTCCGCATCCATTGCTGCCTTCCACTCCTTCTTATAAGGCCCCGAGAGAGCTTCCTCTTTTGTGCGAGGAGTCGGAATGGTTGGGTTCTCGGTGGAGCTGAGAGAAGGGCAGTCAGTAATGTCCGGGAAGATGTGAAAGAGAAATTGGCAGACCGCATGAAGGTCAAACAGCTCCTCATGCCTGTCCTCCAGAAGTGCACGTGGGGGAATACGGATGGAGGGGACATCACCCCAAGCAAGAGGAGGCGGGGTGACCGAACACCGGATGGAGAAGGCGGTTGGTCCCCAGGCGAGAGGCGGAGCCGGTCCCTTGGAGCGAGTGCGACTAGAGACCGGAGACGAAGGCGGCTGCAGTGGGACCGGAGGGACTGGGCGCCTCTGGTAGGAGACTGGTGATCCGGGCTCGACGCGCGGGGAAGGCGGAGCAGGAGGTGGTGCCGATACGGAGGATACCGGGGAGGCCGGGTGAGACACGCCGGATGGAGAAGGCCCCGGAGAAGGGGCAGCGGCCGGAGGTGGGGCATCAAAGTCTGCCCATACAAGCGTCGGGGGAGGTGGAAGAGGCTCGCCCGTGGTCGCAGAGTGGAAGGGGCGTGTCTCATCGAAGACGACATCACAGCTGCGAATCAGCTGTCTGGTGATGGGGTTGAGGAATAAGTAGTCTGGGGAATCGGAGTTGTTGCCCAGGTACATGCAGGTCTGGGTTTTGGGACCAAGCTTGCCACCTTGATTCCTGCGTGTGGGGGCTGAGCAACACATACGTGGTACACCCCCAGACGCGTAGAGAGCGGGCGGAGGGCGTGGCCCCAAGCCAGAGAGTGGTAGGTGTGGTGTCGGGCTGGTGGGGATGCGGATAAAGATTGTAGAGGAAAGTTGCATGGAAGAGGGCATATCCCCAGAGTGACCGTGGTGCATTGGCGTGACTGAGGAGGCAGCGAGCGATCTGAACCAAGGTGTGGTTGCGGCTCTCTGCAATGCCGTTCTGCTGCGGGCTTTCAGGGAGCGTGAAGGTTTGCCGAATCCCTTGGGCCGTGCAGAAGGTATCGAGTTTGCCATTGCGAAACTCTCCCCTGCCATCAGAATGGAGGCACTTCAGAGGAGTGCTGAACGTGACTTGAGCCTAGCGCACCCATGCCATGATGAGGTCAGGTGCCTCTGCCTTGGTATGCAGGAGGTGCACGGAAGCATACCGCGAGTGGTCATCGACTAGTCTAAGAAAGTACCAATGACCGCCTCGGGATGCGACTGGAGCTGGGCCCCAAACATCCATGTCCACTAGGTCCAGCGGAGTAGCTGCGACGGATGGGGAAGAAGGGTGCGGCTGCTTCCTAAGCTTGCTCTTGGTGCTGTCCAGGCAGGTGGGTGCAGGTGAGTCTGTTTGTGGAGGAAGCGCCAACGGGAGGCCAAGAAGAAGTTTCTTGGAAGCGATGTCGGCAAGCGTACGGAAGTTGGGGTGACCCAAGCGATGGTGGTAGAGGATGGTTGGGTTGGCAAAGCTGCGACAGCTTAGTGGTGCTGGCAGCTTGCGCTTGGGAGAGGGCGGCGAGAGGTGCAGGTGAACGCAGCGTGTAGAGCTTGCTGCTGTTGAGTGCAAAGCGTGCTAGGAGCTTGTTGGACTTAGGTTCGAGGAGGTCACAGTGATCCGAGTGTGCTGGGAAGATCGTGGTGACGCCTGCCCGTTGGAGCTCGTGTTAGGCTATGAGATTGTGGCGTAGTGTGGGAACACACATGCCGGCGACACTGCCCGAAGGGAAAGCTGGGCACGAAACTGTGGAGGAGCCCTTGGCGTGTGTTGTGAAACTGGAGTCTGCTCCTAGTAGACGGATTGGTGTCTCGTATGGCTTGAAGGAGTGTTCTTCTTTGAGAACTGTGTGAGTGGCCCCACTGTCGAGGGTGAACTCTATTGTGGCTGGGGTGCTTTGTGAGCCGGGACACTGTGAAATCGTCTCATTAATCATGGCAGTGCCAGGGAACAACATGTTAAGGCACACATCAGCAAGGGCAGCCACAGCAGCCTGCACCGATTCCTACGCTGCGACTTGATTAACTTGGCAGGAGCACGATTGACCATCCAGCTTGGCAGCTTTGAGGCAGTCCCATTGACGGCATACCACTCGTCATCCTTCTTCTTGAAGCAGGAGGCGAGGGCATGGTTGGTGCCGCCACACACCTGGCCGGCACGAGGGCCGCGCTTGATGACGTAGGGGCACAGGGGGAAGCGGTTGCGCTGGAATGGTGCCGAAGCGGCATAGGTTTGAGGCACGGGAGCGTGGATTGCATTGGCTTTGGCTTGAGCGCTGCTGTCCTTTTTGGCAGAAAGGAGCGCGGATGAGACCTTGGCAAATGTGAGGTCCGCAAGAGCAAGGCCCAAGAGCATCTTGCATGTGACTTTGTATGACGGAGTGAGGCCGACTAGGAGAGCGGCTACAGGGGCTTGCTCAAGGAAGACTATCCTGAACTGTTTGAGTTCACCATGAATGGACTGCACCTTGGTGACATAGTCCGCCATGCCTCGCGGGTCCTCGAGCCGGACTTGGAACATGCTGGGGATGAGTATAGAAACTCCCACTGCAGTCTTGTTCAGGACGCGGTCTTCGAGGTAGAGCCAAATGGCATTGGCAGACGGGTAGTTGTGGTAGGTTTCGACGAGTTCGGGAGGAGTGGTGCCCATGAAGACACCAATGACCGCACCATCGGCCTTCTCCCAATTCTTGTACTTGAGCAGTGCAGCAGCATAAACTGCTTCGGCGGCGGCATTAGCTGGATCGGCGGACCTCTCGGGTTTAGGAGGCTCTTTGCTGTCACCGATGTTGAGAAGGTCGGTGAGCTCAAGCCCCTTCACCTCGCGACTGAGGAGGTGCTTGTCGACACCATAGCGCCAAGCCTTGTAGTTGGAGCATGTACCGTCCAACTCGAGACGAAGGAGCGGGATCGGGTTGGCGAGTGAAGTGGTTGAGTAAGCCATTGCTGCTTGATTTTCGCGAAGCGACGCTCTTAAGTCACCGATAGGAACTTCAGTGCACAGCGCGGCACTTGTGGAAAGCGGTCAACGAGAATTGCTGAAAATCACTCTGACGGCTTCGTCAAAATGCCGCTAAGAAGGAAATGGCGTCGGCAAAAATTTGTTTAAACGCCGACTTGAAACTGAATCTAAGACTATGTCTAACCTCGGACCCACACACCCCCCGACACACCCCTAGGCCCTATCCCGCAGCTAGACAGCTTCGCAACCAGCTCCGCAACCGGCTCTGCAACCAGCTCCTCTACGCTTCCACCTGTGTACCTGATCTTGCTTGACGCGAGAAGTTTGTGGAGGCGATTCCGCAAGGGGAGTTCGCCTATTCTGGCGGGGTCCGAGGGGAAACTCGAATACGAGTTCTAGGAGATGGTCGAAATTGAGATTCGATCAAAGAGAACCGAGAAGGAAATCGACGATGAGAAGCGTGAAAGCTTTCGAGTCGAGAAATTCGACGAGGTCGAGCCCGAAGGTGGTCAACGATGAGAGGCGCGACTGCAGAGTGGAGCACGTCGAAATTCCGACGACTCGAGACGAATGCCGCGACGATGAGGTGCGCGTAGCGCGGGCACGTTAAGATGAGGACCTTGATCCGCGTGTGCGGATAGGTCGCTCTGATACCATGTAAGAAATAGAGCTGAAATTATTGATTAGGTAAGGAGCCCAAGGCTCTATAAGTACATGGCAAGGTTAGAGAGAATGGATGAAGGGGGGAATCGAAGGGAATCCCGACTGGGATCTCCGGAATCTCCAATTGGGTAATTGGAGATTGGGGGGATCACAGTTGGGTGAGGTTGGGGTTTTGTGAGTACACCCCAACCCACTAGAACATTCCTAACCTAAACTAGGATATAAAAGTACAAATACAAAAGTGGTATCTGCAATCTATTTCTAACAACGGCGACACGGCGGCACGTCGGCACGGCGACATGGCGGCATGGCGCCACGGCGGCACGGCGGCATGGCAGCACTGCGGAACGGTGGCACTGCGGCACGGTGGTATGCCGGCACGTTGACACTGCGGCACGGCGACCCGGCAGCACGGCAGGACCGGGGTCGGTGCGAACTGGGGCCGGCGAGTGCGGGACCGTCACGCGAGGGGCCGGCTATTAAGGGGGACGGCGAGTTGGGGGCCGGCAGACTGGGGGGCCGGCGCGAACCGGGGCCGGCGAGCTGGGGCCGGCTAGCTAGGGGCCGGCGAGCGAGGGGCTGGTGAGCTCGGGGCCGGCTAACGGGGGGCCGGCGAGATAGGAGCCGGGGACTGGCGAGCGAGGAGCCAGCGAGCTGGGGGGCCAGCGAGCTCGGGGGCCAGTCAGCGCGGGGCCAGCGAGCACGGAGCCGGTGAGCGCAGGATCGGCGAGCGCGGGACCAGCGAGCGCAGGGCTGGCGAGCACAGGGCCGACGGGCGCGGGGCGGAAAGCGCGGGGCCAGCTGGCGTGGGCCAGCGAGCGCGGGGCCAGCGAGCGTGGACCAGCGAGCACGGGGCTACTAGCGTGGGCCAGCGAGCGCAGAGCGACGAGGGCGGGCCTACGAGCGCTGGCCAGAAAGCGCGGGGCGACGAGCAGGGCCTACAGGCGCAGGGCGACGAGCACAGGCCAGAGAACGCGAGGCGACGGGCGGGGCCTACGAGCGCGGGCCTACGAGCGCGGGGCCTACAGGCTAGGGCTAGGGCTAGGACTAGAGCTAAGACTAGGGCTAGCTCTAGGGCTAAGGCGAAAGCGCGGGTGGGTGAGGACCCAACCTAGCGTGATTCCATCACAAGGTAACGAATGGTTAGAATAGAAGGGTACAGTGTGGTTTTGTGCTACTGTGTTGTTCTCTCTAAGAGTACGCACCTATCCAGCCTATAATAACATATGCATATATGTTTGACAACTACCACCCCCTCGTCTCTCACACCCTGCGTTGCGCCATCCATCCGTGGTAAGCCAAGGCGCCGGGAGAGTCGACTAAAAAACCATCTAAGTGCATGACTGTCACTCCATCACCCTCCCCCCCCCTCTCACTCCCTGTGCTGCACTGCACTAGCTCCGGTACGCCAAGGCACCTGGACTCAAGTTTCTGAAGGCGATGAGAAAAAGCTTGCAGGTAGGCGACAAGGCCCTTCAGGTACGGGGACAAGGCCCTTCAGGTATGGGGGACAAGGCCCTTCAGGTACGGGGACAAGGTCCTTCAGGTACGGGGAGAGGTGCGGACTAAGCAGGCCTGCCCCCTGGCTGCTGCAGCTCGCCTCCGCTCACTGCATCTGCTGCCCCGCGCCCAGTAGGCCTCGTAGCTGGAGAGAGAGTTCTTGCAGGTAGAGGAGGAGCTGCTTTAAGTAGGGGGAGAGCTGCCGCAGATAGACCAGGAGGAGGTCCAGGTAGCGAAAGAGGTGCCGCACATAGGCCGAGAAGAGCTGCAGGTAGGATGAGAGGAGGTGCAGGTAGGGGGAGTACTCCGGGCCCAGCAGTTGGTGCACGAGGTCCGAGGCGGAGAGGAGGAGCGCGAGGGCGAGGAGGCCGAGGGCGGTGAGGATGAGCATAGCCACCCAGGCTGGTGGGGGGGGGTGGTGGGGGGGATTAAGGAGAGAGGTGAATGCAGGGACACATGCCAACCAACGTGGAGAGGAGAGTGAGGGCGAGGAGGACGAGGGCGGTGAGGACGAGCAGAGATACCCAGGCTGGTGGGGGGGATTGGGAGGGGGAGGACGGAGAGAGGTGAATGCAGGGACACATGAAAACAAATGTGGATTGGAGAGCGAGGGCGAGGAGGACGAGCAGAGCTACCCAGGCTGGTGGGGGGGATTGGGAGGGGGAGGACGGAGAGAGGTGAATGCAGGGACACATGAAAACAAATGTGGATTGGATAGCGAGGGACACACGGAAAGAAAGGAGTCGAGGGGTTAATCATGAGAGACATAGGAGGCGAGAGATGAGTATCATAGCGATCGAGGGAAATGGTATTAAGGGATTGTTGCCTCTGACTCAAAAGGCGAGATGTGTATCAAGGCGATCTAGGGAGAAAGAACGTAGGGATTGCCGATCCACGGACGCACGTGCACACTGAGAAGCAGCACCCATGTTCCTGCAATGAGTCATTCGTTGCCCTGAATTGCCGCGCAGCTTGCATTCATCACGCAGGGGCAAAGCCCATTGCCCCAGACCCAATACAATAAACCCCTCACCTTGGCCCGCAGGCTTGGCAGCGACAGCAGTGACTCGCGCACTGGAGTCACCAGAGACAGATAGCAGCGCCCTGATGGGTGTGTGGGGGGGAGGCCGTGGAGGGGAAGGAGAGGAGGCCTGATGAGTGGTGTGGCAGCAGCCACTGCAGTGACTCGCGCACTGGAGTCACCAGAGACAGACAGCAGCGCCCTGATGGGTGTGTGGGGGGGAGGCAGTGGAGGGGAAGGAGAGGAGGCCTGATGAGTGGTGTGGCAGCAGCCACTGCAGTGACTCGCGCACTGGAGTCACCCGAGACAGATAGCAGCGCCCTGATGGGTGTGGGGGGGGGAGGCCGTGGAGGGGAAGGAGAGGAGGCCTGATGAGTGGTGTGGCAGCAGCCACTGCAGTGACTCGCGCACTGGAGTCACCCGAGACAAATAGCAGCGCCCTGATGGGTGTGTGGGGGGGAGGCCGTGGAGGGGAAGGAGAGGAGGCCTGATGAGTGGTGTGGCAGCAGCCACTGCAGTGACTCGCGCACTGGAGTCACCCGAGACAGACAGCAGCGCTCTGATGGGCGTGTGGGGAGGCGTAGAGGGAGGGCAAGGGAAGGAATAGATAGGTGATGAGATAGGAGTAGATAGGCGTAGATACGAGTAGATAGGCGTTAGCGTGGCAGCAGTGAATTGAGCACTGGGATCAGGGGGGACCAGGGACCAGGGGAGTGCAGGGAGCAGGGAGCAGGGAGCAGGGAGGCAGGACAGGGAGGCGGGGACGTGGAATCAGGGGAGAAGGGGAGGCCAGCGACAAAGGCATGGTGCTGGAAGAAGGGAGCAGGGTGGAAGTGAAGGAAGCAGGAAGGGGGGGAGTGCGGCAGGAATGGGGGGAGTGCAGCAGGAAGGGGGAGAGTGCAGCAGGAAGGGGGAGAGTGCAGCAGGAAGGGGGGGAGTGCAGCAGGAAGAGGAAAAGTGGAGCAGGAAGAGGGGGAGTGGAGCAGGACGAGGGGGAGTGGAGCAGGACGAGGGGGAGTGGAGCAAGGCAGGCAGGGGCGAGAAGGGGAGAGCAAGATGGGCAGGGAGGCGGGTGGGAGGGCAGGGAGCAGCGGACCTGGAGTTGGGGGCGAAATCAAGGCCGGTGACAAAGACAAGGTGCGCTCCCACCACCCTCTGCCTCACGCTCAGCGTGCGAGCATCCACTATGAACACGTTGCCCTCTGGCGTGCCCCTGCTTGCAGCACACAGCACACAGCACACAGCGCACAGCGCACAGCACACAGCACACAGCAGAGGAACATGAGAGGGTGGAGATAGGTTGAGAAGAAGACAAGGTGCGCTCCCAGCACTCCCAGCACTCCCTGCCTCACGCTGAGAGTGCGAGCATCCACCACAAACACATTGCCCTCCAGCGTTCCTCTGTTGCGGCACACGGAACACACAGGGAAAGGGGGGAGTGAGAGCATCCACGCAGGGAGTAAAGGAAGATGCAAGAAGAGGGGCGTGATGTGGGGCGTGATGTGGGGCGTGATGTGGGAGCGAGCAGGCAAGAAGATGGAATGGGGCGAACGGGAGCCGCGGACGCAGGAGGGCGGGGCAAGAGACGGGCAAAAGAGTGGCAAGAGAGAGGCAAACGGCACAGAAGGGGAGAACAGGCAACGGGCATACGTGGCAAGCAGCGTGGAGTCGGGGCTGATAGCAAAGGCGGAGATGGGGTCATTGTGGATCTTCCTCACTGCCACTCGCCGCCACGCTGCCGTCTCCCACACCACCACCCACCCCTTGCCCGCTGGTATGGGGGGGAAGTGGGACGGGCAGGGAGTTGCAAGGGAAAGCTGGTGAGAAAGGCAGCAATGGGCTTCACTCTACTCCATGCTGCTGTCCCCCACACCACCACCCACCCCTGGCCGGGTGTGGTGGGAGGGAGGATGGAGTGAGGGGCGTGTAGGGAGTGAGCAACGGGGGAAAGGAAGGGCTCGATGCGGGGAACTAGCCACCATGCTGCCGTCTCCCACACCGCAACCCACCACCAACCACCCACTCCTGGAGGGATGTCAAACGAGGGGACGAGAGAGGGGGAAGGACGAGAGAGGGGGAAGGACGAGAGAGGGGGGGGGGGGGGGGGGGGGGGGGGGGGGGGGGAGGACGAGAGAGGGGGAAGGACGAGAGAGGGGGAAGGACGAGAGAGGGGGAAGGACGAGAGAGGGGGAAGGACGAGAGAGGGGGAAGGACGAGAGAGGGGGAAGGACGAGAGAGGGGGAGGGGGGGGGGAAGGACGAGAGAGGGGGAAGGACGAGAGAGGGGGAAGGACGAGAGAGGGGGAAGGACGAGAGAGGGGGAAGGACGAGAGAGGGGGAAGGACGAGAGAGGAGGCGAGAAGGACGAGAGAGGGGGAAGGACGAGAGAGGGGGAAGGACGAGAGAGGGGGAAGGACGAGAGAGGGGGAAGGACGAGAGAGAGGACGAGAGAGGGGGAAGGACGAGAGAGGGGGAAGGACGAGAGAGGGGGAAGGACGAGAGAGGGGGAAGGACGAGAGAGGGGGAAGGACGAGAGAGGGGAAGGACGAGAGAGGGGGAAGGAGAGAGAGGGGGAAGGACGAGAGAGGGGGAAGGACGAGAGAGGGGGAAGGACGAGAGAGGGGGAAGGACGAGAGAGGGGGAAGGACGAGAGAGGGGGAAGGACGAGAGAGGGGGAAGGACGAGAGAGGGGGAAGGACGAGAGAGGGGAAGGACGAGAGAGGGGAAGGACGAGAGAGGGGGAAGGACGAGAGAGGGGAAGGACGAGAGAGGGGGAAGGACGAGAGAGGGGGAAGGACGAGAGAGGGGGAAGGACGAGAGAGGGGGAAGGACGAGAGAGGGGGAAGGGAAGGACGAGAGAGGGGGAAGGACGAGAGAGGGGGAAGGACGAGAGAGGGGGAAGGACGAGAGAGGGGGAAGGACGAGAGAGGGGGAAGGACGAGAGAGGGGGAAGGACGAGAGAGGGGGAAGGACGAGAGAGGGGGAAGGACGAGAGAGGGGGAAGGACGAGAGAGGGGGAAGGACGAGAGAGGGGGAAGGACGAGAGAGGGGGAAGGACGAGAGAGGGGGAAGGACGAGAGAGGGGGAAGGACGAGAGAGGGGGAAGGACGAGAGAGGGGGAAGGACGAGAGAGGGGAAGGACGAGAGAGGGGGAAGGACGAGAGAGGGGGAAGGACGAGAGAGGGGGAAGGACGAGAGAGGGGGAAGGACGAGAGGGGGGGAAGGACGAGAGAGGGGGAAGGACGAGAGAGGGGGAAGGACGAGAGAGGGGGAAGGACGAGAGAGGGGGAAGGACGAGAGAGGGGGAAGGACGAGAGAGGGGGAAGGGGGGGGACGAGAGAGGGGGAAGGACGAGAGAGGGGGAAGGACGAGAGAGGGGGAAGGACGAGAGAGGGGGAAGGACGAGAGAGGGGGAAGGACGAGAGAGGGGGAAGGACGAGAGAGGGGGAAGGACGAGAGAGGGGGAAGGACGAGAGAGGGGGAAGGACGAGAGAGGGGGAAGGACGAGAGAGGGGGAAGGACGAGAGAGGGGGAAGGACGAGAGAGGGGGAAGGACGAGAGAGGGGGGAAGGACGAGAGAGGGGGAAAGGACGAGAGAGGGGAAGGACGAGAGAGGGGGAAGGACGAGAGAGGGGGAAGGACGAGAGAGGGGAAGGACGAGAGAGGGGGAAGGACGAGAGAGGGGGAAGGACGAGAGAGGGGGAAGGACGAGAGAGGGGGAAGGACGAGAGAGGGGGAAGGACGAGAGAGGGGGAAAGGACGAGAGAGGGGAAGGACGAGAGAGGGGGAAGGACGAGAGAGGGGGAAGGACGAGAGAGGGGGAAGGACGAGAGAGGGGGAAGGACGAGAGAGAGGGGGAAGGACGAGAGAGGGGGGAAGGACGAGAGAGAGGGAAGGACGAGAGAGGGGGAAGGACGAGAGAGGGGGAAGGACGAGAGAGGGGGAAGACGAGAGAAGGGGGAAGGACGAGAGAGGGGGAAGGACGAGAGAGGGGGAAGGACGAGAGAGGGGGAAGGACGAGAGAGGGGGAAGGACGAGAGAGGGGGAAGGACGAGAGAGGGGGAAAGGACGAGAGAGAGGGAAGGACGAGAGAGGGGGAAGGACGAGAGAGGGGGGAAGGACGAGAGAGGGGGAAGGACGAGAGAGGGGGAAGGACGAGAGAGGGGAAGGACGAGAGAGGGGGAAGGACGAGAGAGGGGGGAAGGACGAGAGAGGGAGAAGGACGAGAGAGGGGGGAAGGACGAGAGAGGGGGAAGGACGAGAGAGGGGGAAGGACGAGAGAGAGGGGGAAGGACGAGAGAGGGGGAAGGACGAGAGAGAGGGAAGGACGAGAGAGGGGGAAGGACGAGAGAGGGGGAAGGACGAGAGAGGGGGAAGGACGAGAGAGGGGGAAGGACGAGAGAGGGGGAAGGACGAGAGAGGGGGAAGGACGAGAGAGGGGGAAGGACGAGAGAGGGGGAAGGACGAGAGAGGGGGAAGGACGAGAGAGGGGAGAAGGACGAGAGAGAGGGAAGGACGAGAGAGGGGGAAGGACGAGAGGGGGGAAGGACGAGAGAGGGGGGACGAGAGAGGGGGAAGGACGAGAGAGGGGGAAGGACGAGAGAGGGGGAAGGACGAGAGAGGGGGAAGGACGAGAGAGGGGAAGGACGAGAGAGGGGGAAGGACGAGAGAGGGGGAAGGACGAGAGAGGGGGAAAGGACGAGAGAGGGGGAAGACGAGAGAGGGGAAGGACGAGAGAGGGGGAAGGACGAGAGAGGGGGAAGGACGAGAGAGGGGGAAGGACGAGAGAGGGGAAGGACGAGAGAGGGGGAAGGACGAGAGAGGGGGAAGGACGAGAGAGGGGGAAGGACGAGAGAGGGGGAAGGACGAGAGAGGAGGGAAGGACGAGAGAGGGGGAAGGACGAGAGAGGGGGAAGGACGAGAGAGGGGGAAGGACGAGAGAGGGGGAAGGACGAGAGAGGGGGAAGGACGAGAGAGGGGGAAGGACGAGAGAGGGGGAAGGACGAGAGAGGGGGAAGGACGAGAGAGGGGGAAGGACGAGAGAGGGGGAAGGACGAGAGAGGGGGAAGGACGAGAGAGGGGGAAGGACGAGAGAGGGGGAAGGACGAGAGAGGGGGAAGGACGAAGAGAGGGGGGAAAGGACGAGAGAGAGGGGAAGGACGAGAGAGGGGGAAGGAGAGAGAGGGGGAAGGGACGAGAGAGGGGGGAAGGACGAGAGAGGGGGAAGGACGAGAGAGGGGGAAGGACGAGAGAGGGGGAAGGACGAGAGAGGGGGAAGGACGAGAGAGGGGGAAGGACGAGAGAGGGGGAAGGACGAGAGAGGGGGAAGGACGAGAGAGGGGGAAGGACGAGAGAGGAGGGAAGGACGAGAGAGGGGGAAGGACGAGAGAGGGGGAAGGACGAGAAGAGGGGGAAGGACGAGAGAGGGGGAAGGACGAGAGAGGGGGAAGGACGAGAGAGGGGGGAAGGACGAGAGAGGGGGAAGGACGAGAGAGGGGGAAGGACGAGAGAGGGGGAAGGACGAGAGAGGGGGAAAGGACGAGAGAGGGGGAAGGACGAGAGAGGGGGAAGGACGAGAGAGGGGAAGGACGAGAGAGGGGGAAAGGACGAGAGAGGGGGAAGGACGAGAGAGGGGGAAGGACGAGAGAGGGGAAGACGAGAGAGGGGGAAGGACGAGAGAGGGGAAAGGACGAGAGAGGGGAAGGACGAGAGAGGGGGAAGGACGAGAGAGGGGGAAGGACGAGAGAGGGGGAAGGACGAGAGAGGGGGAAGGACGAGAGAGGGGGAAGGACGAGAGAGGGGGGAAAAGGGAGGACGAGAGAGGGGGAAGGACGAGAGAGGGGGAAGGACGAGAGAGGGGGAAGGACGAGAGAGGGGGAAGGACGAGAGAGGGAAGGAGGAAAAGGACGAGAGAGGGGGAAGGACGAGAGAGGGGGAAGGACGAGAAGAGGGGGAAGGACGAGAGAGGGGGAAGGACGAGAGAAGGAGGAAGGACGAGAGAGGGGGAAAGGACGAGAGAGAGGGGAAGGACGAGAGGAGGGGGAAGGACGAGAGAAGGGGGAAGGACGAAGAGAGGGGGAAGGGACGAGAGAGGGGGAAGGACGAGAGAGGGGGAAAGGACGAGAGAAGGGGGAAGGACGAGAAGAGGGGGAAGGACGAGAGGAGGAGAGAGGGGGAAGGACGAGAGAGGGGGAAGGACGAGAGAGAGGGAAGGACGAAGGGGGAAGGACGAGAGAGGGGAAGGACGAGGAGAGGGGAAGGACGAGAGAGGGGGAAGGACGAGAGAGGGGGAAAGGACAGAGAGGGGGAAGGACGAGAGAGGGAAAGACGAGAAGAGGGGGAAGGACGAGAGAGGGGGAAGGACGAGAGAGGGAAGGAGAGAGAGGGAAGGACGAGAGAGGGGGAAGGACGAAGAGAGGGGAAGGACGAGAGAGGGGGAAGGACGAGAGAGGGGGAAGGACGAGAGAGGGGAAGGACAGAGAGAGGGGAAGGACGAGAGAGGGGGGAAGGACGAGAGAGAGGAGAGGGGGAAGGACGAAGAGAGGGGGAAGGACGAGAGAGGGGAAGGACGAGAGAGGGGGGAAGGACGAGAGAGGGGGAAGGACGAGAGAGGGGAAGGACGAGAGAGGGGAAGGACGAGAGAGGGGGAAGGACGAGAGAGGGGAGGACGAGAGAGGGGGGAAGGACGAGAGAGGGGAAGGACGAAGAGAGGGGAAGGACGAGGAGGGGGAAGGACGAGAGAGGGGAGGACGAGAGAGGGGGAAGGACGAGAGAGGGGGAAGGACGAGAGAGGGGGAAGGACGAGAAGGGGGGAAGGACGAGAGAGGGGAAGGACGAGAGAGGGGGAAGGACGAGAGAGAGGGAAGGATGAGAGAGGGGGGGATGGAGGGGTAGGGCTGACGAGATGAATGAAGCGAGGAGGGGGAAGAGAGGGTCGAGCAGAGGCACGGAGAGAAGAGAACGAGATGCGATGCAGTGGGCAGCACTGACGGATGACTGGGTGTGTGTGTGCTCACGATTCACTCAGCTCTCACAGCCGTGAATCGAATCACTCTAGCCCACAATCCCCCCTCACTACAGTCACCGCCTTGCTACTGCCACCCTGCACTAACGCCTCACCCTTGACGCAGGTGGAGTAGAGCAGCGGCTTGGAGGGGTCTCGGGAGAAGCGGCAGAGACCAAAGCGCGCCCCGCCCTGATTAGGGTGAGCGGGGAGGGAAAGAGTGAGTGGGGGGATGGGCCCGGTTGAGAGAGCATGTGGGTGAGAGGATTGGAGTGTGAGAGGTGGGATGCGAGGTGCAGAGTGGGGAAATGGAGAGGGGATGATGGGTAACACAAATGGATGACTGTTAGGAATACAGCTGCTTACAGGTCGTCACACATGGTTACAGGGTGGTTACAGGTTGGTTACAGGTGGCTACAGCTGCTTGATAGTGCTACAGCGCCATACAGGTGGTTGCTGGTGTGCACTGCTAACAAAAGCAATGCAGAGAGAGGGAGTGCTGACCTCAGCAATGCAGAGTGCTGACCTCAGCAATGGAGAGAGTGGCAACAGCCGTCCCCTTGCGCACGCTCCACACCCTCAGCGGCCCCGCATCCGCTGTCGTCGCCACCAGCGACCCGTCCAGGCTGGTTTGCAGTAAAGGAGAAGGATAAAATTGTTTGTATGGGGAATACGGGCCTGGTGGGGGCTTGGGAAGGGATGGGGCGAGACAGAGAGATCATGTGGATAGAGGCTGCTGCAGTGGGAAGCAAAGGGTGGCTGCAGAGGAGGAGCAGGGCAAGCAGCAGCAACAGACCATCTCTCAGGCATCAGACATGCTTGGTGTCCGCATCTCTGAGTGCGGAGGAAAGAGCGCCGAGCCGAGCACACCCACCCATGGCAGATTCCATACTCCCATGGCAAAGCCCACCAGACCAAGCCCATGCAACCGCCCTGAATGCAACTCTCTGTATGCACTGAACCCCCCTCAGCGTTCAGTCATCAAACGACCGTACTTGATGTCCGCGTCTCTCAGCGACGACGTGTGAGCGCGCGGCACCTCCATCGCCACCTCCATACTCGGCCACTCAAACACCCGCAGCCGCCCATCCTCACTCCCCGCCACCACTCTGCACCCATCCGCACTGAACAACAGACATTTCACCTCCGCAACCTTCTCCTCCTCCTCCTCCTTTCCTCCCCTCTCCCCCCTCCCTTTCTCCTCTCCTGCACTCGCGTCGCCCCCCTTCCCCGCCCCTTCCCCCCCCCCTCCCCCTCCTCCCCCCCGGCCCCAGCCACTTCAGCTGCACAGCGCTCTGCACCAGCTGCAGCTGCTCCAGCGGCACTCCGCCCTCCTCACTCCCCTCCTTTCCCTCTGTGCCTGCCTCACCGCCGCCTTTCTGCTGCTCCTCCTCCTGGGGCCTCACTTCGAACAGGCTGGTCTAACGTGCGAGGAGGGCGGGCGGGAGGGGAGGGGAGGGGAGGGGAGGGAAGGAGGGGGGGCAGGCGTAGCGAAGGAATCGGAACATCAATAACAGGAGCAGAGTGGAGTGGAGTGGATTGAGTGCGTGCAGTTGAGGGTTTCGGGTTCGACCACACGTGGAATCGAAGCAGGAAGAGCTGCTGAGAGAATGAGCCGAGAAGCGTTCGGCGTTTATGAGGCGCCTCAAAAAACGGGTGGAAGAGGGAGCAGAGAAGAGGTGGGGAGTTGAGGGGAGGACGCTTGGTGTCCAGCTGCAGCTCCAGCTGCAGCTCCAGCTCCAGCTCACCGGCAGGCGTCACCGAAGGCGGCGATGAGCCCGTCGCCGTTGGGGTGCGCAGTAATCTTGAACGCGGGGTTGGCGCCTGTTGACAGGCTGAACACCTGGGCGGGGGGGAGCGCAGTTGGTTACTACGGGATATGGTTGCAGCAAGAGAGCTGTTCAAACAAACACACCACACGATGCTACCGTGCGTGCGGTGGCAGCGAAAACGAGGCTCGACGAAGGCGGATTCGCTGAGGGCACGAGACGCATCCATGTGTCATGGCGTGCCACGTCACCTCGTCCGACAGCTCGTTGGCGGAGAAGCTGTATTTGCACGCGATGATCTTGCTCTTAATGCCGTGCCGCCCCGCGCCGCCGCCCCCCGCCAGCACCACCAGCCCCTCCGCGCTCTGCGCGCCCGCCGCTGGGCCCTTCGTGGGCGCCCACGCGCCGCAGAAGAGGGGGAAGCCGAACTGCTTTTTGACCTTGGAATCGTCGGGCCGCGACGGAGCCATGGGGGCTGCTCGATATAGGAGCTGTTCGTGGTTTCGGTCTGATCACTCTAATTCAGAGGCGCATCGGAGGAATAACGAGCTCTGTGAACATGGCAGGAGGTCATCAACATACTGGACGTGTGGTCAAGCTCATCCGCCATATGAGTGTAAGGACGGTATACATACTTCACTAGGCAATTTATTCACATAACCCTGTTGGAAACATTATTTGGTATCTCTATTACAGTTGGTGACTTCACTTCAACAAGGCTTGACTATTCTGATTTATTTTTAATTGAAGGTATGAATTAAAATATATTGATATCAATCTCAAGCATGTGTTTACCAGTAATATTGGTCTAATGCGTGTGAAAATGCTTTTCGTAAAATGAAACGCCCATGTCAAATACAATCTCTATTCCCGTACTACGGCCAGTGCACTTAGGGCATGCTGTATGGTCTCAAGAGGATCTGCTTATAAGTGTATACTGTTCTGTCCATCTGCTGTCAGAGTTGCCAGGACATTCCTTCTGTATTCATCTGAACAGAGCGACAAGACAAGTCGCGTCGCGTCGCCTGACTCAAGTCAATCAGGGTGCGACACACCTTACTGACATCCCGCCGCATGCGAAGTGGGCGGGAGACGGAGCTGGACCCGGCGACGACGCGTGCGACACACAGACCAGCGCCGCCGATTGGCCAAGGCCCTGCGACAAGCTCAAAGCCCGCTGCGCACATTCCCCCGAGGTCACACAGACCAATGCGCGCCTTGGTTCTGATTTGGAATTGAACACATTTGCTTGAGGCTTTGATCGGGCAACCCACCGCCCCACGGCCAACAAAGTATGCAGCAATTGTGGGTTTGGGGTGGGGAGAGAGTGTGAGCGCGGAGGAGAGGTTCTAAGAAGCCCGCCACTGGAATTCAATCAAATCCGTGAGCAGCCTCCTGTTCAGCATCCTAATGCGCGACCCACTGACCAGCCACTACCAGCCTCCTATTAGCCCGATGTCCCTGTTCTATCTGCGTAACCCCATGTCATGGCGCCGCGCAGAGGCTACGATACGTGACCTATGACTTTTGCAGTCACCGACACAACTGGTCACATAGACGGCGCGAGCGACTCCTTTGCAAAGTGCCCGAACTGCCAAGTATCTCCTTTCCCGATGATCGCACTTGCTTTGCCATTTCCCCTCGTTCCGTTCGTTTCCATGCAAATACGCACGGTTGTCGCCGTCCGTCGTCGCCATCAGCCCGTCAAGCCGGAGTAGCCTGGCTAGTAGCCTGGGCGACCGACTGATCGACCTCGAGTGTTGGCTATCTCTTGTCTCCCCACACCTACGTCGAGTTGGTTTTCAAAATCAATAAATCCCATAAAAACAAGAGCAGCTGTCACGCTCAGCTATCCCCTTCCTCGCAGCCCTAGCGACCCAGCCAGCACTCGCATCTGTTACTGCTGTCGGGTCGAATAGAAGGCGCACGCCTACACTCGCATTGAGAGCTCAACCACGCCGCCTCACACGGCGCATTCTTAGTTTCGGCCCAGCAGTAGGCGAGAATCTAGTGGTAGTTACACGGCTCTTGGCCGTCGCGCAAGACGACTCCATGCTTGACCGCAGTTGGCGAATTCCGCCAGTTTCGACCAGACGATTCCGCCACAGTTTCGCCACATGTAACAAGGCGATAGCTGTTTTCGCCAACACGAGCACGGAAATTGGAGAGGCTGGGTAGCATGCGAGCCCAGGGCGAACTGTCGAATCGAAATCACGATGCGAGATAAGGATGCGTCATAGAGGGAGTCACTCCCGATAGAGAGTCGAGATAAGAAGGCGAAGACCTTAGCTGTCTTTTTGCAGTTCCCCGAGCTCTGAAGCATCCGCCAGCGAGCGCTAGCTAGGCGCTGCTAGCTAGCTCAGGGTTTCTCGGTTGTAATTTCTGACAGGTGTGGCAGTGGCCAGGGACGATGTTACAGGGTGATTGTACCGAGAGGCAGCCGACCACATCGTGGTGGCGGTGACACTATCGGAGGAAGGCCGTGGGCTCATCCAATGGACGATCAGCCGATGCCAACCGGGTGACGTCATCTACGTCCTCCACGTCATCGTGCCGCCCACCGATGGTACGCACCACGAGTACTATCTGGCAGCATCCGCGAACGTGCCCTTTTGTCTCGCGGCCTTCCTACCTCCGAGGTAGGGAGTCTCTGCTTGTCTTTCCGTTGCGGCCTTCCTTCCCCCCCACCTATCCCCCTTGCTTGTCGTGCCGTCTCGGTTTCTCGTCGTCGTCCAACGCACGTCTGATCGATTGCGATCCCCAATCTGAATCCTCCAATGGCTGCCTGCCCGCCCTTGCATCGGGCATCGTCGATTGTACGGATCGCAAGTAATCCCACCTCCTAATTCCACCTAACTCACCTCATCGCACGCAACCGCACCTAACTGCACCAAATCGTACACCTTTCGCCAGTCCGGTCAGTCTGCTCGCACCAGCCGGTAGGCCCGCCTCCACGTGTCGCCTCACTTCTGCATCTCAATCCTTCTCCGCTCCTCTCTCTCCCTACATCCTCCTACTCTCTGTCCGCTTCCCTGCTCCCCCGCTTCTCCGCCTCCCCGCTCCCCGCCTCCCGCTTCCCCCCTTCCCCCGTCCTCTCTTCCCCATCCCCCATCCGGCGCAATCCGCCAGGCGCGCAGCCCCCGCGGCTGGAGGAGATGCGGGAGGACCAGCGGCGGAAGCTGGAGATCTTCTCCGCGCTGCTGTGGGGCTTCGAGGCGCTGTGCGCGGAAAAGCGCGTGGCGGCGTCGGTGCGCGTGGTGCACGGCCCGTGCGAGCAGCAGACGCTGCTGGACGAGGCGCTGCTGCTGCGCGCCACGCGGGTGGTCATCGACAAGGACGGGTGGGTTACGGGGGATGGAGTAGCGTGAGAGCAGGGGGGAGCCAGGGGGGATTCAGGAGGGTGAGTGATGACGACTGCAGACGGGTGATGGACGAGGCCATGCTGCTGCGCGCCACGCGGGTGGTCGTCCACAAGGACGGGCGAGGAAAGGGGGGGCTAGTCAGAAGCGTCGGTGATTGGGCAGCGAGGAGGGCTAGCGTGCGAGCAGCAGACGGTGGTGGACGACGCGATGCTGCTGGGGGCCACGCGGGTGGTCTTCGACAAGGACGGGTGAGGCGAGGAAGGGTGAGCTACGAGAGTTGCAACAATGCGATAAGGGCAGGAGGGCCGGATGAAGGCAGCCGGTGCTGGAGCAGGCGATGCTGCTGGGCGCCACGCGGGTGGTGGTCGACAAGGACGGGCGCGGTGAGAGGTTCGCGGACCATGGGCCGAGTGCGCGTGTTCTGAGACATCTCGAGACGCGAGTCTCATACCACGTTGAGTACAGCGATAATGTAGGAAGAGAGAGAGGGACTGCCTTGTTGCCGTACAGCCACTGACTGCCTTCCCTCCCTCCCTTGCTGCTCTCTCTGCTCCTCCTCCCGTCCCATCCGCTCAACGCACCCTTCCTCCAGCCGCCCCCTCCCCATAATAACCGCTTTTCCCATGTTCTCTTCATTCCGCCATTCCCCCATCCCCCAGAATGGGGCGGCGCTTCTCCCCGCGCGCGCTGGAGCAGCGCCTTCCGCCCGCCTGCATGGTGCTCTTCGTTGGCGGCGGGCGCCTGGCGCTTGCCAAGCGGGGGAAGGGCGGAATGGGCGCGGCAGCGGGCGCAGCGGAGAGCACGGATGCTGAGACCCGCGCAACAGGCGACGCCACTCCCAACGGCCACCGCCCGCTCTACATCCCCCTTATGCGGCTCTTCGGTAGCGGCAAAGACAGGGACGGGTACAAGGAACAGGCAAGCGCTGCGAAGGGCGGAGATAGTGAGAAGGCGAAGATCGCTGCTCGGGAGAGAGTGCGGGAGAGGGAGAAGGCAAGGGAGCGAGAGAGGAGGGGAGGAATGTACGGCGAGCGGGAGAAGGGAGGGGAAGGGAAGGGCATATTCGATGCTGCAGCAACCACTGCCTTGAGTTCTGCTCGGTCCACCAGCAGCGCCATCGGTGGCAGCAGCAGGAGCATGGGCGCGGGGGCGTCTCCATACCCCACTGCGCGCATTACCGTTGCTGCAGCCAGCAGCCATGCGCACCCCATGGGCGGGGGCATCAGCCGCAGCGGACCCCTCGCGTACCAGCATGCCTCAGTGGGCGGTGCAGGGAGCACGAGCCTGAGCGGACCACAGGAGCGAGCAGCAGCAGGTGCAGCGGGCACGGCCGGCGGTTGGGGCAGCTACCGCGGAGCAACTCGCTCACGAGCCTCAGGCAGCAGCCGGCCTCCAAGCCGTCCATCGCTCAGCGCGCGCTCTCCCTGCTGCAGGGCGACGTCTCCTGTAAGGCCACACCGTTTCTCTCCTCCTCTCTCCCTCTTCCTTCTCTCTCCCTCCTCTTTCCCTCCTCCTCCTTTCTCCCTCCTCCTCCTCTCTCCCTCCTCCTCCTTTCTCCCTCTCCTCCTCTCTCCCTCTCCTCCTCACTCTCCCTCTCCTCCTCTCTCTCCCTCTCCTCCTCTCTCCCTCTCTTCTCTCCCTCTCCTCCTCTCTCCCTCTCCCCTCTCTCCCTCTCCTCCTCTCTCCTTCTCTTCTCTCCCCCTCTCATCCTCTCTCCCTCTCCTCTCTCTCCCTCTCCTCCTCTCTCCCTCTCCTCTCTCTCCCTCTCCTCCTCTCTCCCTCTCTCCTCTCTCCCTCTCTTCCTCTCTCCCTCTCCTCTTTCTCCCTCTCCTCCCCTCTCCCTCTCCTCTCTCTGCCTCTCATCTCTCTCCCTCCTCCTCTCTCTCCCGCTAGCACGCTCTCGTCTCGCCCTTTCCAACTCTCCCACACCCCCCACCCCCACATTCAACCGCCTTCCCCGTCCTCTTCCCTCCCCTCCCCTCCCCTCTCCTCCCCTCCCCTCCCCTCCCCTCTCCTCCCTCCCCTCCCCTCCCCTCTCCTCCCCTCCCCTCCCCTCCCCTCCCCTCTCCTCCCCTCTCTCCCCCCTCTCAGTCCCCCGCAGGCCATTCGCCCCTGGCAAGGCTCGCAGCGTCTGCAGCTCGCCTCGTGCCTCCTCCCCCCACTCCTCCTTCTTCTCCTCCTCCCGCCCCTCCTCCCCCCGCTCCTCCCGCCCGTCTTCCCCCCGCGCCTCCGCCTTCAACCCATTCTTCCCCTCCTCCCCGCGCTCTTCCCGCCCCTCCTCCCCCCGCGCCACCACGTGCAACCCCAACTCCTCCCCCTTCATCTCCCCCCGCTCCTCCGCATCGAATCCCTTCTTTTCCTCCTCCCCTCGTGCTGCCACTGCCGCCGGTGCTGCTGGAAACGGCTGGTTGGGGCAGCATCAGGGGCACCAGCAGCAGCAGCAGCACCAGCAGCAGCAGCAGCAGCAGCAGCAGCAGCAGCAGCAGCAGCAAAAGCAGCAGCTGAGGCAGCAGCAGCGGCAGCAGCACATGCAGCAGCAGGGGCAAGCAGGGAGCAGAAGCGGTGAGCACGTGCCGAAATGGCAGGTGCTGCGATCGTCAATCACAGCCAAACAGCAGCCGCAGCAGCAGCAGCAACAGCAGCCGCAGCAGCAGCAGCAACAGCAGCAGCATCAGATGACAGACGGGTCACGCTCGTTTGAGTCACGTTCGGCTGCAGTCACCCCCAGGCACATGCACGTGCAGCGGTCAGCATCATTTGCGGGGGTGAGCGCTGTGGCTGCTACCCTAGCGCAGCAGCTGGGGTGGGAGAACGAGAGAGAGGGGGAGGAGGAGGAGGAGGAGAGGAAGGCGAGGGAGCAAGTGAGGAAGGGGAGGGTGGTGGGTGAGGGGGCGGGGGAGGAGCAGCAGGCGCTGAGCGAGCTGAGCGAACGGCTGGTGAGGCTGCAGCAGCAGCAGCAGCAGCAGCAGCAGAAAGAGCAGGGCGAGGGAGGGGGAAAGGGGAACAAAGCAGCTTCAGGGTCAGACAAGGCAGCATCTAGTGATGTGAGGACACGTGGCAGGTGGAAGCTGCCAGGGAAGGAGTGTGAGGTGGAGGCTAGTGAGGCGGAGGAGGGGCGTGTGGGGCGGAGAGAGCGGGGGGTGAGAGGGCGGGAAGGGAAGCTGAGTTTCTACGTGGGCCAAGGGCCGCAGGAGGAGAGCATCCTCAGAGCTCACACCGCTCGTGCTGCTGACAGTGCCAATGGTGCTATTGACGGCCATGCAGCTGGCCGTGTTGAGAGCGTCGACTGCATTGACTGGGCCAACCGCTGTGACGTGGAAACTGCGTCATCCTCCTCCTCTTCCTCTTCGGAAGCTTCTTCTGAACACGGGGATGCCAATATCGGGGATCAAATGGATGATGCGATACAGGGCACAGTGCATCACTGTAGCTTCCCTCTTATGGATGCTTCTGATGCCGCTCAGCCTGTTCTCGAGTCTTTCTGCTCGGATATATCAGCCACGTCAGCTGCCACGTCATCCTCCGCGTTCTCCTCCCGCTCAGGGGCGTCCTCCCATTGGACGGACATTCCCAGCAGCGGCTCCCTTTCAATCCCAAACTGCCACGTGTCACAGCAAACACACCCTGGCAACAACAACAGCAGCAGCAGCAGCAAGAAGAATGGGAGCAGTGGCTATCTATCAGATTCGGCTCTGATCCCTAGGGCACCTGGCGCTACACCAGCACCACCTGGGAATTCACCTGAAGTGCCACCGGCAGCAGTTAAAGGCGCAGGCCCCAATGCTGTGTGCTCTGGAGGGAGAGCCGTTCAACCGAGCGGCAGATCTCCCCTGGAGCCTCTCAGTGGCAACAGGATGCCATCAGGCGGGCGAGAGGGGGAGAACGGGAGGGGGGAAGGGAAGAAGGGGCAGGGGGCGGGAGGAGAGGGGGTGAAGCAGGAGAGGGAGGAGGCAGGGGAGGGGAAGGAGGGCGCCAGGTGTCCCATTCTGGAATTCAGCGCGCACAGGCCGCGCCAGAGGCACGGCCTGGGGGGGACAGTGGGCGGGTGGAGCGGGGCGGCGGGGCGGCGGCTGTCGGTGCTGAACAAGACCCGCGACCCACAGAGGGTGAGCCACCGGCTGGGAGGAGCGGAATCGGGGAGTGAGAGTGAGAGGGATTTGGGGAGAAGGGCGCCAGTAGAGTGGGGGAGTGAAAGTGAGAGGGAGTCAGGGAGAGTGCGAGGAGTAGAGAGTGGGAGCGAGAGGGATTTGCACGCGCCTGCTGCGTGTTTGATCGCTGGTGGTGGGAGTGAGTGTGGTGTGAGTGAGAGGGATAGGGAGTGGGGGTTTGTGGTGCAGGCAGCGAGAGTGGGGGAGAGAGGTAGGGAGAGGGAGAGTGAAGAGGAGGGCTCAGACGGTCGGGTGTCTGAAAGGGGGTGCGAGGGGGAAAGGGAGAGGGAAGGAGGACGGGAGGGAGATGGGGAAGAGATGGAGGAAGCGAGTGAGGGGAGAGCGAGTGAGGGGAGAGCGAGTGAGGGGAGAGCGAGTGAGGGGAGAGCGCGTGAGGGGAGAGCGCAAGAGCAGAGCAGCAAGGAGGGAGACAGCAGCAAGGAGGGGGAGAGCAGCAGGGAGGGGGAGAGCAGCAGAGAGGCGGACAGCAGCACAGAGGGAGGGGGAGTGGGAGTGGGGCTGGACTCGCTGCCGAGTGTGCGGCAGCAGTCGCTGCCTCTCAGCCGCAGCTGCACCTCGCTGCTGCCCTCTAGGCGGTACTTCTCCGATGGGGGGAGGACGCGGGGAGGGACGGGAGAGAGGGGAGGAGGGCGGTACCGGAAATGCCTCAGAGAACGCCTCTGAGCTCCGTGGGAGGGGATAGGAGCGTGCACGGAGGGGCGGTAGTGCGCAGTGCAGAGCTGCCTCGCAGCCGCAGTGGTGGCGGTGTCTCCATGGCGTCGCCCTCCCCTGCCATGCGGAGGAGCCTCTCCTTCACCCACGGAGCACGGCATGCAGCGGCGGCGGCGGCGACAGGGCATGTAGAAACGGCGACAGCAGCGGGAGCAGTGGCGGCAGCGCACGGGGAGGGAGGGAGCGGGGTGGCGGGCGTGGTGGGGTGGGAGGGGCCGTGGAGGAAGCTGAGGTGGCGAGAGGTGGAAGACGCCACTGATGGGTTCGCCACGAGTGAGTGAGAGAGGAGGGGAGGGCGAGGTGTGCGTGAGAGGGGTGGGTGGGAAGGATGTGCAAGTGGCATTCAAGCATGTGTACGCATGATAGCACAAACGCCATGCATGATTGCACATACGCCATGCATGATTGCACATACGCCATGCATGATGGCACCAGCACCAAGCATGATGGCAGAAGCAACATGCATGATGGCAGAAGCAACATGCATCATGGCACATGCATCATGCATATATGTCGCTTGTCTCACTGCACTCTCGTACTGCCTTCCTCCCCCCCCCCATTATGACCAGGGAACCTTCTTGGGACGTGCGGCGGCTACAGCCGGGTGTACCGAGGCCGGTTACCAGGCGGGCAGCAGATAGCAGTGAGAAGGGAGATGCTCAACTGGTCCGCTGCTGCGGCTGCTAGTGGCGCTGGTGCTGATGGTGGTGGTGAGGGTGGGGTTTTTGCTTGTTTTGGTGCTGTTCATGGTGCCAGGCAAGGGGGTAGCCCACGTGGCAGTGTGCCACTGGCTGTAGAGCGCGGCCTGAGCAGCGAGGTGGCAGCTGAGCTGGCGGTGCTGGCGCTGCTGAGTCACCGCCACGTGGCGCACCTGGTGGGGGTGTGTGGGGAGCGGAGGGAGGAGGTGGCGCTGGTGTACGAGCACATGGAGGGCGGCAGCCTCGAGACCGCCCTCAGGGGGAGCGCTGGGCCCTCTGATGCTAACCCTGGTATGTTCCCTCTCTGTTGGTGATTTCGTACAAGGTATTGCACAAGGGTGGCGCTGCTGTGCGAGCTCATGGAGGGCAGCAGCCTCGAGACCGCTCTCAGGGGGGCCACGGGGGCCTCTGATGCTACTACCCCTGGTAAGGCCCAAAGCCTCCACACCTGAGATTCTCCACTGATCCTCTGTGCTGCTGCTGTGCTGCTGCTGTGCTGCTGCTGTGCTGCTGCTGTGCTGCTGCTGTGCTGCTGCTGTGCTGCTGCTGTGCTGCTGCTGCGCTGCTGCTGTGCTGCTGCTGCGCTGCTGCTGCGCTGCTGCTGTGCTGCTGCTGCGCTGCTGCTGCGCTGCTGCTGCGCTGCTGCTGTGCTGCTGCTGCGCTGCTGCTGTGCTGCTGCTGTGCTGCTGCTGTGCTGCTGCTGTGCTGCTGCTGTGCTGCTGCTGTGCTGCTGCTGCGCTGCTGCTGCGCTGCTGCTGCGCTGCTGCTGTGCTGCTGCTGTGCTGCTGCTGCGCTGCTGCTACGCTGCTGCTGCGCTGCTGCTGCGCTGCTGCTGTGCTGCTGCTGTGCTGCTGCTGCGCTGCTGCTACGCTGCTGCTCCGCTGCTGCTGTGCTGCTGCTGTGCTGCTGCTGCGCTGCTGCTGCGCTGCTGCTGTGCTGCTGCTGTGCTGCTGCTGCGCTGCTGCTGTGCTGCTGCTGTGCTGCTGCTGTGCGAGCTCATGGAGGGCGGTAGCCTCGGGACTGCTCTCAGGGGGGGCTCTGGGGCCACTGATGGTTCCCCTGAAATGCGCACGTGCTGTTGGCATTTGCTCTCCGCCGGTAATCCGTTAGAGGCCTGGGCGCCGCCTGGGAGGCTCTGCTGCTGCTGCCCCTTGTACTGCACGTAATGCCGCCAACTCCCTTGTGCTCTACGGGTGCACTTCCGCTGCTGCGGCTAATATGTGCTCTTGCGGCTACTGGTCATGCTCCTTCTGTGTGCTCATGATGCCAGTCACCCCATCTCAACCCCTGCCTCCCCCTTTTTCCACCCTGCCCCCCTCCCGCATCCCCTCTCTACCTCAACCCCTCCCCAGGCCCTCTCTCCTGGTCGGTCCGGCCAATCATAGCGCGCCAGCTGGCACTGGCCCTGCACTACCTTCACGAGGGGGCGCCCAGGGCTGTGGTGCATCGGAACGTGCGGGCGGCGAGTGTGATGCTAACGAGGGCAGGAGAGGTGAAGGTGAGTGTGATGCTTACGAGGGGAGGAGAGGTGAAGGTGAGTGTGATGCTAACGAGGGGAGGAGACGTGAAGCTGAGTGAGTGCTATCCTCCTATCCTCATCACGATCCCTTCCTTCTGCTTCTCCCTTTTGCAACACTGTCATCGGCAGACTACCTCCCCTACACGCTACCTACCTTCCCTCGTTCCCTCCACCCTTCCGTCCACTCCTTCCCACCAATCCATCTCTGTCCTTGCTCCCCGTCTCTCCTCCACCTCTGGGAGTTCGGGTTGGCCCTCGCTGCAGCCATCAACGATGCGTGCATTCCACCCTGTGATGTCCCCTCCTCCGTCCCTTACCTTTGTTCTGCCCCTTGTACCATCCACGCCCCTCTCGCCCATCCCACCAGCTCTCAGAGTTCGGATCGGCTCTCTTTGCTGCCGCCAACGATGCGCCCATGCAAGCGCCACTCGCCGGCATGTTTGGGTGAGTGCACGCTGGGCTTGTGGCTTGTGTGGGACGGGCTTGTGTGGGATGGGCTTGTGTGGGATGGGCTTGTGTGGGATAGGCTTTGCAGAGCGTGTTTCGAGAAGTCACAATGGGGTCTATCGTGTGAATGCACATGCCTATTAGGACTATCGTGCAAACGCCTCCCTCCAACCATCAAATCCAGCTCCAGTCGCCAGAGTAAAAGTTCCGCAGGGTGGTAACCGCGTGCATGTTCCCCTTCCTCCTCACCCTTCACATACCCCCTTCTCCCCCTCACCGCCCCTCAGCTACCTAGCGCCAGAGTACCTGTCACACGGGGTGGTGACCACGCGCACGGACGTGTTTGCGTTTGGAGTGGTGGCACTGGAGCTGCTGACGGGGCAGGCGGCCGTGGATGAGAGCAAGCCCAGAGGGCACCAGTGCCTGGCGCAATGGGTGAGGGGCATGGCATGGCATGGCACGGCATGGCATGGCATGGCATGGCATGGCATGACATGGCACAGCATGGCATGGCATGGCATGGCATGACATGACATGGCATGGCATGGCACGGCATGGCATGGCATGGCACGGCATGGCATGACATGGCACGGCATGGCACGGCATGGCATGGCATGGCATGGCATGGCATGGCATGCCATGGCATGGCATGGCACGGCATGGCATGGCACGGCATGGCATGGCACGGCATGGCATGGCACGGCATGGCATGGCATGGCATGGCACGGCACGGCATGGCATGGCACGGCATGGCACGGCCTGGCATGGCATGGCATGGCATGGCATGGCATGGCACAGCATGGCATGGCATGGCATGGCATGGCATGGCACGGCATGGCATGGCACGGCATGGCATGGCACGGCATGGCATGGCACGGCATGGCACGGCATGGCATGGCATGGCACGGCATGGCATGGCATGGCACGGCATGGCATGGCATGGCACGGCATGGCATGGCATGGCACGGCATGGCATGGCATGGCACGGCATGGCATGGCATGGCGTGGCATGGCACGGTATTGCATGGAATGGCATGGTACTCAGTTCGTGGCACGTGGTAATGAGTTGCTGCCGGGGCAGGCGGCCGTTGATTAGAGCAGGGCGCGGGGCAGCAGTGCCCGGCGCAATGGGTGAGGGAGATGGGAGATGGGAGATGAGAGATGCGACGGGATTGCATCCTATGGGTTGGAGATGCATTGCCGTGGCACGGTGTGCAGGGGCAGTACATGGCACGGCATTGCATGCCATGGCATGGCATCTCAGTGCATGGTATGAGATGGCATGGTATAGCATGGGGATGATATGGGATGGGATGGGGTTATCATGTGTTGGGATGTGGCTGTGCTGGGCGAATGGACAACATGAGAAGGGAAAGTAGAGCTTGTTCGTCCCACTGCATCCATCCAGCTTCACCTCACACCATTCCCCCCCATCCTGCCACTCACTCGCTTCCCCCGCTGTCAGGCACGGCCTCTCATAGAGGCAGGCAGGCTTCATGACATCGCGGACCCAGCCCTACTGGGCAGTTACCACCCGCACCAGTTCGCCCTGCTGGCCCGCATCGCCCTGCTCTGCACCGAAAAGGACCCCTCGCTGCGACCCTCCATGCTGCAGGTAGGGATCTTCCTCTCCTTTCCCCGCCTCTTTAAGAGCTGCCATGCTGCAGGTGAGGGTGCCATTGGTGTGACATCTATCTCACATGGTCCACTTGGTGACTTCGGTGTCATTTTCCCTTGCACTTCGTGCACACACGACTCATTCCAAATACTCTACCAAAAAAGGTTACTGTTGTCTCCGTGTATCTCCATATGCCCATCACCAGGTGCTGCACTTGCTAGACTCAGGTGTTTACGGTACCTTCGCCACAACAGCACAGCCGATGACTCCGCTGCATGCGCACACACCCCTTCATGCTCGTTCCGTTCCAACATAGGTTCGCCTCATCCATAGAAAACACGATCCCCTAATTTCGTTGTGGTATGAGCGCGCCATGTCTGGGTTCGCCATCACTTCATCCATCTGCTCAAAGTCGCGCTGTTGGGCAACTCCAGCATTGGGTTTTACCGTGTGTGCATGTGCTGCACAGCTGCTGCTTACATCCTGGAGGGTCTCTAAAGTTACAGGGTATGTGGGCAACAATTGGTTGGCTGGATGTATTTTAGGCAAGAAACGTTGAGGCATGGGTGATACGGGAGGCTTAAAGTGAAAGTATACAATAACTTCAAGGTTCAGAGGATTTTGAACCTGCCGAGTGGCAAACCCTCGCTGCGCCCACACCAAAGAAACGTGTTAACCCTGTTGGCCCTTGATAGGGGGAAACTTAGCTGGCGCAAATAGGCGATTGGCCGAGCGACAGCCATACGATGCAGGTGGTCCAGCAAAACAACCCACCAACCCACCGAGTTGCACAGTCCCTTGGACACTATTATCCACTCGTAGGCCATGACGCAGTGCCCCGCCATTCCCGCCAAGCCAACCTTGCCCACGCTGCGACACCGCGAAAAAAAAGCGGGATTGGGAGAGGCAACAGATTCGATTAGTCAGCGGCGCCGCCCAACACCTCCCACGCAAAACACGTATCGCGTTTGTCCACCACGCGCAACGCCATTCTGTGCAGGGCAAGATCTCGCCCAACCCATGCCTATCCCCGCCCGCTCGACCACTCTCCCGCTCGCCCGCTCTCCCGCTCTCCTGATCTCCCACGCTCCGTTCTCCTGCTCTCCCGCTCTCCCGCTCTCCCGTTCTCCCGCGCTCCCGCGCTCCAGCTCTCCCGCTTTCTCGCGCTCCCACAGGCGGGATGACGAACTCAGACAGGGGGAGAAGGTGAACTCAGATAGGGGGGGAAGTGCCGCTCTGGTATGAGGGGGAAGGTGTGCGCCCACAGGCGGGATGATGAGCTCAGATAGGGGGAGAAGATGCACTCAGATAGGGGGAGAAGATGCACTCAGATAGGGGGAGAAGATGCACTCAGATAGGGGGGGAAGTGCCGCACTGGTGTGAGGGGGGAGATGGGCGCCCACAGGCGGGAATTCGTGCTCACATCCCCTCTCTTTCCCCCTCACATCCCCTCTCTTTCCCCCTCACATCCCCTCTCTTTCCCCCTCGCATCCCCTCTTTTTCCCCCTTGCATCCCTTGTCTTTCCGCTTCACATCCCCTCTCTTTCCCCCTCACATCCCCTCCCTCTTCCCCTCACATTCCCTCTCTTTCCCCTTGACATCCCCTCTTATTCCCCCGCACGTCCCCTGTCTTTCCCCCTCACATCCCCTCTCGTTCCCCCTCACATCCCCTCTCCTTCCCCCTCACATCCCCTCTCCTTCCCCCTCGCATCCCCGCTCTTCCCCCTCGCATCCTCTCTTTCCCCCTCCCATCCTCTCGCTCTCACCCTCACATCCTTTCTCTCTTTTCCCCTCGCATCCTCTTGCGTTCCCCCTCGCGTTCTCTCTGTTTCCCCCTCGCGTCCTCTCTCTTTCCCCCTCGCGTCCTCTCTCTTTCTCCCTCGCGTCCTCTCTCTTTCCCCCTCAAGTCCTCTCTCAGTCCCCCTCTCGTTCTCTCTCTTTCCCCCTCAAGTCCTCTCTCTCTCTCTCTCTCTCTCTCTCTCTCTCTCTCTCTCTCTCTCTCTCTCACTCTCTCTCGCTCTCTCTCTCTCTCTCTCTCTCTCTCTCGCTCTCTCTCTCTCTCTCTCTCTCTCTCTCTCTCTCTCTCTCTCTCTCTCTCTCTCTCTCTCTCTCTCTCTCTCTCTCTCTCTCTCTCTCTCAAGCGGTCCGTGTATTAGATGGAACCTGGGTACAACCGAGACAAAAGGAAAGATTACACAAGCTCCATCCCTGTACCCCTCTCCCCCCCGATGGAGCCCACTAAGGTGGCTCGGCCCGGGGCTCTAGAATGGCAGAACAATCCCCTAGGAAGAAATCGGCCCCGGGGCAGCCGACTGGGGGGTTGTCAGCTAGCGCCGCCTCATGAACCTTCTCCAGGTAGGCGATAGCTTGGGCGCGCTGCAGAGTGACCGACCAGCGCTGGCGGAACTACTGGAGCAGTCTCGCTGCCTGGTACGAGGTTGGGTCCGCGTTAAAGAGCCTCCTGGCGGCCGGGAGCTTCAAGAACTGGGGGACCTCGTCGCATGGGCAGCCGTAGGTTTCGACCGCCAAGGGGAACAGGCCCACGCAGGCCGTGCGGTTGCGGTAGGGGTGCACTTTTTTTCCGGCCTGCTCCCGGGCCATGTATCCTCTGCCCTTGCGGGCCGTGGGGTCGCGGGTGCTGATGGGGTCAGTGATGGTGACATCGCAGATCCACACCGCACCGGAGTCCCGGTGTCGGATGGCCAGGCCGGCTGTGAGGTCGTCCACTGGGTTGAACACCGCCGTCTCCTTGTGCACGATGAACTCCGAATCTTGTGCCATGCGAATGCACTTGTCACGCAGGGCGTTGTGGGTGTTCATGTGGTCATGCCCGGTCCCGCACCTGAGGAGGAGGTTAGTGAGGCGCGGATCCTCGAGCATGTATCTGTCGGCGCAGTCACAGACCCGAGGGGCTGGGCAGGGGAGTCCCATGCGGAAGGCCAGGGCAAAGGCGAAATGTTGGGGGCCGAGGCAGAGGGACGGGTTTAGCGAATAGCGAGGAGCCAATCCCCCGCCCCGTACCCCGTGAGTGATAGGAGCCGCTGAGTATGGCCCATGAGGGGGTTCAGCTCCATCTCGCGAGAAGCATCCAGCAGCTCCGCGTACCGCGCCCCCTGTACCTCCAGAGAGCGGCGGTGCTGAAGGGGTTCCCCTGTCGGCTCCAAGCGTTCCGCCTGGAGCAGCTCCAGTGCCGCCAGAGGCAAGCCTGCTTTGCACGCCGCCAGCCAGGTGTGGAGCGGGGTCGGGCCGGAAAAGGGCGGGCAGAGGGGTCGGGCGGCGTTGGCCAGGGGGGTGTTTGGGGCGTCGGGCAAGGAGGAGAGGAGTGCGTGCGCGTGGGCCACACTGGTAAGGAAGGAGTGGGGGCCTTCCACGACAGGGTCGGCAAGGCCCAGCCCCCCGAGTGAGGGGGGTAGCGATGCCTGAGACCAGGTGCGGCTGAGTTCAACCTCTCCCTGCGGGAGGCGCAAGCCACAGGCGCGGAGCAGGGTATGGAAGAGCTCCCTGCCCCAAGCCGACCACTCCGTGGAGGGGAGCGAGACTAGGGGTGTGGTGCATACTAGGTAGGATACGCGGCGGGAGACGCAGCGTGTCAGCAGCAAGCATGCCACCTGCAGGTCCATGGTGGCAAGTGTCGGCAGGGGGGCTGCTAGTTCGGTGAGTTTGTTTCGGAGGAAGCGCTCCGCACCCTCCCGGGGCCCGACGTGGCTTCCGAGGACCTGTAGTCCATCAGTGTGGTATGGAACCCCAGGAGGAAGCGCCGTTGGGGACGGGCCCGAGGGCGACCAGGCCGCGCATGTTGCGGGGTTGTGGGTAAGGCCCAGGGGCACAAGTGCGGCGATGAAGGCGTTGAAGGCGGCGATGCATGCTGGCGGCTCGCCTAAGAAGGTAAGGTCATCCGCGTACGCAAGGCACAGACTGAAGGGTGGGAGGCGGCTGTAGCACGGAGGGCGGGCTGGATGGCTGCCGCGAAAAGCAGGGGTCCCATGGGGTCCCCCTGGAGGACTCCGCGTGTACTAAGCAGCGGGGGGGGCGCCGAAACTCGCGTCAAGGTGCAGTAGCGAGGGGTGGCCGTAGGAGAAGCGGTTCAGGGGAAGGAGGCAGCAGAGCGGGGAGTCGGCGATTGCCGTGGCTATTGCGGCTCTCTCGACGATATTGAAAGCGTTGGTGAGGTCCACTTGTAGAATCAGGGCGCTCGGGACCTCTTCAACGAACGCTCTGGTCGCGTGGATGATGGCTTCCCCTCCTCCTCTCACCGCCACGCCAGATTGCACAGGGAGGAAGTAGTCTTGGGCTGCTGAAGAGCAGGCAGCTAGGGCGGCTTTGTTGGCGAGTCGCAGGAGACATTCGCCGATAGCGATCGGCCTGGAGCCCCCGCAGGGCTTCGTGAAGGCCAGTAGGCGAGAGGCAATAAGCAGGTCCGCGACGTTGTCTGGTGGGTGACCGGCGATAACAATGTTCACCAGCTTGTGCAGGTTACTGGCGACGTCGGCGTTGGTCAACGCAGCATCGCAAAAATGTTCGAATGTGGACCCCGAGGGCCCAGCCCCTACGTCGTTCTCGCAGCATGCGAGAAGCTTGGCGAAGACAGAAAACGGGATGGTGGGGGGAGGGTGTTCGTCATCGCTAGCTGGCCAAGGGAGCGACTCGGTCAACGGCGGGGGGTGTTTTTATTTCAACGCCTCTAGGACCTCAGGTGTTGCTGGGCTGATTGGGGTTGACTCCAGAGCCATCAGCGCCCTTCTCAGGCTCCCGCGCTTAGCCAATCCCTCGGCTCAGGAGATTTTTCCTAGCAAGTCTGGGGTGTGACGTGGCGGGGGCGGGGAGTGGACCGCCAGCATCACCTCGTCATACAGGGCTTGCCATTCGCCTCTCAGAAATTGTTTCAGTCTGTTCTTCGTCGCCAACCAATCCGGTTTCCTTGGCGAGAGCAGTCGGAGGGTCAGGCGGGGTGTGAACAGTAGCAGGCGCCACCCTACCAGCAAAAAGGGGGTTTCCGCCAGATGGAGGAGCGGGATCAACATCGCCAGCGCGAAAAGAGGGCGAATTTTGCGGGGTAGTCGGCGAAAAAGTGGGGGTTGTTTGCTATTGCACAAGCCCGCCACGTCCCAGTTGGCAATGTTAGTGAACAAGGATTCGTCTGCCGCGAGCTCTTCAGGGGACCGCTGTGATGGAGGTTGGGCGCGGGCATCCCCATCAATCCTCGTATTCCGCCGGCAGGCGTTCCGGCCTCCCTAGATCTGGGGATACTTCGCGGGTTCCCACCCCTTGTTGAGTTATCTCTCGAGTCTGTTTCAGCCGCTTCAGATCCCTCCGTGCTCGACTCCTGGGGATTACCAGGGATATAAGTCAAATCTCTCTCGCTCTCTCTCTCTCTCTCTCTCTCTCTCTCTCTCTCTCTCTCTCTCTCTCTCTCTCTCTCTCTCTCTCTCTCTCTCTCTCTCTCTTTTGCTCTCTCTCTCTCTCTCTCTCTCTCTCTCTCTCTCTCTCTCTCTCCCTCTCTCTCTCTCTCTCTTTTGCTCTCTCTATCTCTCTCTATCTCTCTATCTCTCTCTCTCTCTCTCTCTCTCTCTCTCTCTCTCTCTCTCTCTCTCTCTCTCTCTCTCTCTCTCTCTCTCTC